TCTGAGGTGCGCTGGGTACGCCTGGCATGCCTCTCGATACTGTCCCCCTCCTCTCTCCTTGGCTTTCCCGTGGTCTGTYCTATATCCTGTCTCGGTCCCAACTCCCACGAGCTCATTCCTGGCCCTCAGCGGTACCTGTCCATTGATGAGGGTTAGCACTCYTTGTACCCCCAGTACCAGGCCCAACACCCGGGCTATAACCGGACTGYWGTCGCTGGTCATGGGTTACTGGAAACCYAGGGTCCACAGGTCTACAACGGCGAGGGTACGGACACTGTCCATGGATACCCAGCAATACCTGCGGCARCACCGGGAACTCATACCTCCGGTCCTAAGGYCTCAACCAAAAATAGCRGAGTGGCACACCACAGCAACCTGCACCGTTACCGTACCGATGACGAACTCGAAATAAACATCGAGGTCTACTATAATTTGCACCGTGTCGAGGATGGTCCAATACTGAACCTGTAGTACCGTTGCTGAAACAATATCTGAAAATAATGCAGTGGCRTATACCATACCGTTGCCGAACCAATACGGAGCCTGAAAATRTTGATACCGTGCAATGCCGCGGCCTCTCRGGAGTATCAAACCATTACCATGCCAATACCGAACCTGAATAGTCTGCACCATAMCGGCGTCGAGTCTGTCCCGAACCTGTAAACTAATGCCAGTCCGCTKTATCGTGTCAACGCCGGACCGTGCAGSCATGTCMTAATAGTCCCGAACCTGCCCCAAGCCTGACTGTCGGGCCCGAACCAAACCCGCAACCGCACAAAGTATAGTAAAGCCACACGATCCATCTCAARATAATCCCAGTAACGATGCTGCGTTGATCATCAAACGCACACCCACTCATATCACACAGGTTGCAGCGAGGCTAAGTCAGGTAACTCACGCAAACGATCCCGATTACCGGGAATTAGAGAAAATCGTTAGATTTAGAGTAAATAAATAATCCGGGGGTAAATCCGATCGCAAATAATCTGATCAAAATTCAGTCGATTATTTAATAATCGTTGGTTTTCTTCCTTCATTTTTAATTATTTTTCTCATTTTTGATTTTAATATTAAAATTAATGGAACCCAAGGCTTCATTTCCGTGCCAGTTGCGCAACATAAAAGGGACCACGCCTAGGCCTATTCTCATATCACCGTTTTGCGGCCAGTTGTTTCGGAAACAACCTCGGAGCGGCGGAAATAAGATAGACGCCAGCGCGGTAGAAGAGGTAGTCTCTCTCGCCAATCCTGAGGGCTAGTCTCACCGATCGACACCTCCAATCTTAGGGGTGCTCTGGGTCCCCCTAATTTTACTGCCTGGTCAAACCAGAATACCGTCATTGCACGGACTCGTCCTTGTGCCTAAGTTCCAAGACTGCCACTTTCAGGCGGCGCACTACTTGTGGCCGCCTGANGAGTGGCACACCACAGCAACCTGCACCGTTACCGTACCGATGACGAACTCGAAATAAACATCGAGGTCTACTATAATTTGCACCGTGTCGAGGATGGTCCAATACTGAACCTGTAGTACCGTTGCTGAAACAATATCTGAAAATAATGCAGTGGCRTATACCATACCGTTGCCGAACCAATACGGAGCCTGAAAATRTTGATACCGTGCAATGCCGCGGCCTCTCRGGAGTATCAAACCATTACCATGCCAATACCGAACCTGAATAGTCTGCACCATAMCGGCGTCGAGTCTGTCCCGAACCTGTAAACTAATGCCAGTCCGCTKTATCGTGTCAACGCCGGACCGTGCAGSCATGTCMTAATAGTCCCGAACCTGCCCCAAGCCTGACTGTCGGGCCCGAACCAAACCCGCAACCGCACAAAGTATAGTAAAGCCACACGATCCATCTCAARATAATCCCAGTAACGATGCTGCGTTGATCATCAAACGCACACCCACTCATATCACACAGGTTGCAGCGAGGCTAAGTCAGGTAACTCACGCAAACGATCCCGATTACCGGGAATTAGAGAAAATCGTTAGATTTAGAGTAAATAAATAATCCGGGGGTAAATCCGATCGCAAATAATCTGATCAAAATTCAGTCGATTATTTAATAATCGTTGGTTTTCTTCCTTCATTTTTAATTATTTTTCTCATTTTTGATTTTAATATTAAAATTAATGGAACCCAAGGCTTCATTTCCGTGCCAGTTGCGCAACATAAAAGGGACCACGCCTAGGCCTATTCTCATATCACCGTTTTGCGGCCAGTTGTTTCGGAAACAACCTCGGAGCGGCGGAAATAAGATAGACGCCAGCGCGGTAGAAGAGGTAGTCTCTCTCGCCAATCCTGAGGGCTAGTCTCACCGATCGACACCTCCAATCTTAGGGGTGCTCTGGGTCCCCCTAATTTTACTGCCTGGTCAAACCAGAATACCGTCATTGCACGGACTCGTCCTTGTGCCTAAGTTCCAAGACTGCCACTTTCAGGCGGCGCACTACTTGTGGCCGCCTGAGAGCGGTTCGAACTTCGAACTTGGCATTCGTCAGCTGCCACCTCCTCCACCTCCTCCTCCCCGCCATCATCATCCACCTCGTCCTGCCCGTCGTCATCCTCCTCCTCCTCCTCCCGGTCATCTTCCTCGTCCTCCCCCGTTGTCGTCCTCATTATAGTCGTCCTCTTCTTCCTTGTTGTCCATTTGTTTCCTCGTCCTCCCCCCAATCGCCTCGTCCTCCTGTTGTGCTTTTTTTTTTTTTTTTTTTGGCACGTCACATTGCAAGACGGACACAACTTTGGGGGGGGTGAGAGAGAGAGAGAGAGAGAGAGAGAGAGAGAGAGAGAGATAGAGAGAGAGAGAGAGAGGCAACCAACGACAATGCGCGACTTGGCACCCTTGCAGCGGCATCTGCAGCGCCACATCAGGAGGTGCGACATCAACGGCTAGTACAACAACAGGTACTGTATGAGCAGGTGCCTAATTAGCACCTCTGCGTCAGCAGGTGCCACATCAGCACCTGCTGCATCAGCGGCTGCCACATCTGCACCTTCTGCATTAGCGGGTACCACATAAGCACCTGCTGCAGCGGTGGCTGCCACATCAGCATCTGCTGCATCTGTGGGTGCTGCATCAGCACCTGGTCCACCAGCGGGCACTACATCAGCAAGTGGCACAACAACAGATTCTGGATCAGGAAGTGCCACATTAGCACCTGCAGTAACAACAACCGCGGCATCAGCTTGTGCCACATCAACAGCAACTACATTTTTGTCGTGGTGGGAAGAAGATCAGCAACAGATGGCCGCCCGGGGTCTTGGCGTGATGCCGAGAGGGGACYGTTCGTAGAGGATCGGACATTCAGGTCGACCCATTGTGTGTGGACATGGGTGGCGGCGGGTAAGAGGTTGGACGACAGCGCCACCTCAAATGCGAGTTGTGTGGGCACGAGTTCACAGGTGGGCAACCCCGTGCCGTCGACCACTTCACTTGGAAGAGGAAGACTTCATGTTGGCCCCATGAGACCCTTACAATCTGGAGGAGGATGTGTGATGTT